CCAGGGTTTTTACCTTATTGATTTGCACAGTATCCAGGGTGTGTGCCTCATTGATTTGCACATTATCCAGGGTTTTTACCTCATTGATTTGCACATTATCCAGGGTTTTTACCTTATTGATTTGTACAGTGTTCAGAGTGTGTGCCTCATTGATTTGCACATTATCCAGGGTTTTTACCTCATTGATTTGCACATTATCCAGGGTTTTTACCTTATTGATTTGTACAGTTTCCAGGGTGTGTGCCTCATTGATTTGTACAGTATCCAGGGTGTGTGCCTCATTGATTTGTATAGTATCTAGGGTGTGTGCCTCATTCATTTGTACAGTATCCAGGGTGTGTGCCTCATTGATTTGCATAGTATCCAGGGTGTATGCCTCATTGATTTGCACAGTATCCAGGGTCTGTGCCTCATTGATTTGCACAGTATCCAGCGTCTGTGCCTCATTGATTTGCACAGTATCTGGGGTGTATGCCTCATTCTTTTGTACAGTATCCAGGGTGTATGCCTCATTTATTTGTACAGTATCTAGGGTGTGTGCCTCATTGATTTGCACAGTATCCAGGGTGTGTACCTCATTGATTTGTACAGTATCCAGGGTCTGTGCCTTATTGATTAGCACAGTATCCAGGGTGTGTGCCTCATTAATTTGCACAGTATCCAGGGTGTATGCCTCATTCATTTGTACAGTATCCAGGGTGTGTTTCTCATTGATTTGCACAGTATCCAGGATCTGTGTCTCATTGATTTGCACAGTATGCAGGGTATGTGCCTCATTGATTTGCACAGTATCCAGGGTGTGTTCCTCATTGATTTGCACAGTATCCAGCGTCTGTGCCTCATTGATTTGCACAGTATCCAGGGTGTATGCCTCATTCATTTGCACAGTATCCAGCGTCTGTGCCTCATTGATTTGCACAGTATCTGGGGTGTATGCCTCATTCTTTTGTACAGTATCCAGGGTGTATGCCTCATTTATTTGTACAGTATCTAGGGTGTGTGCCTCATTGATTTGCACAGTATCCAGGGTGTGTGCCTCATTGATTTGCACAGTATCCAGGGTGTATGCCTCATTCATTTGTACAGTATCCAGGGTGTGTTCCTCATTGATTTGCAACCCCTACTCCTAGCCTTATCCTCTGTACTTAAATCCCATCTGTTATGTTCTTTCGTGCATTTCTTTTCTATACAAAATCCTGATGACTGTGACGAATAATATTAACAGCATACTTTACAGCTTTCATAAATCTCACTTCCTAATGTTTAGAGGCAAAGAAACGGGATTCATCTGCAGAAGCTATCGATGTTGTTTTAAAAGATTCCGCGATGTCTAAAGGAGGTTTATTGAAAGAGCAACAACAGCTGTTCAAAGAGTTTGAAGAGAAAAAACGTCAGGATCATTCGTCTCAACAACATCATAGTTATCCTTCAGATGGTATGACGCATACACATGTAAGCAAACCAGCTGACGTCCTCAAAGCACTGGAGGATAAGTATGAACATGATTCTGACAAAAGTGAAAAACCAAGTACCACTCAGTGGTATGTTAATGAAAGTGACAGTTCTATCTATGTCAGTATGAAATCACCCATTTATCAGAATTCACCGCTTTTAAGCCCGACAAAAGGTATGTATAATATCATTCTGTTTTCTGACATGTCATATTTTTTACTCCCATGTGTGAAGCACACAATGGGAGTCTTTTGCTGTTAGAGCATCTGTATTTGTGTGTGTGTGTCTGTGTGTCTTTTCCTCTGATATCTTAAGAATCATATGTTGGCCTTTAATGAAACTTGATGAAGTTTTGGTTGAAATCCATCCATATTAATTACCTAATTTTCATGATAGCTAATTTTTGGCTGTGCCATAACTGTTTTACTGATATATAAAGAACCACTCAT